AGCGACCAGGGAAGAGGCAACGACGTCCTCCCAGAACCTCATGTCACCGCAGCATCACATCCTTTCTTTCAACCTCACGTGCGTGGATGCAGTTGGACGGGGACTCGCTGTGGCTTGGAGTGCAGCAACATACGAAGCCTTTGCAGGAGGTTTTTAGGGGCCCACGGAGGCCGAGTCGTTCTGTCTCCAAGGCCAACGCAGCCGTCATGGCAGCAGCGCCGCTGCCCTCGCTGGGACTGCCTTCACCACCACCTCTTTGCAGTGCAGAGGAGCGCGGCTGTCACCATTTCAGATGAGAGGTGTGGAGGCAATGAGCTGCCCAGAGGAGCACGGAGGAGCACAGAGCGCACGGACGGTGCGTGTGGAGCAGGGAGAGGGGAGGAGGTGGCTTCCCATCCCAAGGCTGTGCTTAATGAGAGCATTGCTGCAGCACTGCTCGGCCGCCCCTCCTGGGGGTATGAAGAACAAGGGATGGCGTGGCTGCTGCCTTCCCAGCACATGGTGTGGGCAATAGGATGTTCCTCCAGTCCCAGACACGGCCCCGCAGGTACAGGGATGTGGGGAATCACCTGACGTGAGACCTGGCCGGAGATCCTGCAGGCTGGGCTGGCTCTGCCTGAAGTAATTACAGGACAAATGAAACAGGACATGGCCAGGAGGCTCAGTGCATCGCGAGGCATCTCACAGCTTCCACGGAGGGATGCGCTGCCCCTCACAGAGCCGGGATGGGGCTGCATCCAGAGCCACAGCAGCAGCAGCAGCCTGCAGGCTGGGGAGCCCCGCAGCTCCTCTCCACACCAGGATGTTTTCAGACAGCCTCAAGCTGCCTGCAGAGCGCATTTCTGGAAGGAGCTGGAAAGGTTCTGCCGTCCCGCATTCGCAGGCAGATGGTCACGATGCTGTGCTTTGTGTGTGCCTGTCCAGGGGGGCTCAGCCCCCCGGGGGGCTGCACGGCCCCATTGCAGCTCTGAGCACACAGCCCTGCGTGGAGCAGAGCCCCGTGCCAATGCCACTCACGCACTGCAGCCCCAAGAGCAGCCACTGCTGTGCGGGCAGTGGGAGCTGAGGCTGCTGCGGCTGCAGCTCCCATCACCGGTGAGGAGAACGTTGTCTCAGAATACAAATTCCTGCCTTTAAGTGGATTCCCATTGCCATCCAGCAGGAACCCCCCCCCCCCTTTATCTTTATGTGCCTTAGACAACACTCGCTGCCAGGGGAATTTGGGAATTAGTGAGTGTCTTTCTGCGCCACGTGCCTCGGTTTCCCCACCCACAATACAGCCAGGATGATTTGGATCACAGCTATAAGCACACGAGCCACACACCGTCCAGAAGCACCGGTTACGACTGAAGCATTGTTACTGCAGATGGAAATGAACCCACTCATTATTTGTGGCCTCTGAGCACTACCATACTATTAAGCAATTATAATAATTGTAATTCGTCAAGACGATGACCTCTGTCTAAAGGAGTTCCCGTGTTTAAACCTGTTCTGCTGCTCCGCATGCACTGGATGGATTCAGAGTGCTGCAGACACGACCCCCACCAGGAGCTGAGCGGGACCACCAGGCTGTGCCCACCGCTGCCTGGAGCCGCCTGCCGGGCTCAGAGGGATGCAGGCAGCGCACAGCTCGCAGCCGGCACTCCCAGCGTCCGGGAGGGCGCATCCCTGCAGGCCAGCAGAGCTGAGCACCGCGGGCTGACACACCGCTCTCTGCCCCGCCACGAGCGCGCAGCCACTCACCAGCCCCGCGCGGGCGCAGCTGCACGGCCGGCTCTCAGCCATCGCCCTGCGCACCCGCCCGCGCTCTGACCGAAACGACGGCTCCGCGCAGAGCCTCCTGCTGACCCCCGCGGCCCTGCGAGGGGCTGCAGCCCGCGCCGCCGGAGGGAGGAGCCGAGCAGCCCCGGAGCGCGGTGCCCTCACGTCTCACCCCTCCCGGCTGCTCGCGCGAAGGCCTTGAGCTGAGCGCACGGCGCCGGGAGCAACGTGGGCTGCATCCCTCCCTCCGGCGCCGGCGGCCGTCCCCGCGTCAGCGCGGCGTGCGGTACCCGAAGTGACAGCCCCGGCATCGCGTGTGCGCGTGTCAAACACAGCCCGGCTCCGCTGACGGACGTGTCTGCTAACGAGGGGCAGCAGCGAGGCGGGCGCTGCCGGAGCCCTCCCTGCCCGTGTGCCCCCCGGGGCCGTTCTGCCAGCGGCGGTGCCCCGCGCTCCGGGCGGCAGCGAGGAGGGGCTGCGGCGCGGGGCAGAACCCGGGGGGCTCCGGCGCTTCTCACGCGGCGAATCCCAGCGCCGCGGAATCGCCTCCCCCAAGCACACTCTACTGCCTCCGGCGTGGCCGTGCGCCCCCCGGAGACCCCCGCCCGGTGGCCCCGCGCCCCCCGCACTTCCCGGGGAGCTCCGGCGGGGCGGCGGAGCAGAGGAGCCCCGGGGGTCCCTGACCCCAATGACACCCGGGGCTGCTCGGCGCCGAGCATCGCGCCGCTGCCTCGGGGAGAATCGGGAAACGCCGCCCGAGCACCGCAGCTCCTTTCCGGGCATCCCGGCCCCGCGCCCCTCCGAGCACCGCGCATCCCGCGCCGCCCCTGGGTCCCGGTCCCGGCCCTGCGATTCCCGTAACGCTCCGGCCCAGGGATTCCCCGCACCGCCCCGGCCCCCACGCGCTGCGGGGCCGATCCCCGCGGGGCTGAGCCCGATCCCGGCCCGGCCGCCCATCCCCGGGCTCCCCGCTCCAGCCCCGTACCTGGCGCTCGGCGGCGGCGGTGCAGGGCGGTGTGCGCGGAGCACGGCCGGGGCGGAGCCGCGCGGGCTCGCCGGTACCGGGAGGAGGAGCCGGAGGGGCGGGGCGGCGACGTGCCCGCCCGCTGTTAGCGGCGGGGCTGGAAGATGCGGGGAACCCCGCCGGACCCGCACTGGACACCGTCCGCGCAGCACGCGGGGACGCACGGCCGTCTTCCCAACCCGGGTGCGGGCAGCGCGCACCGGGCGCGTCCTCGGTCCCGTCCCCGTGCGGCTCCCCCAGGTCGCGCCGCCGGACTTTGCTGTGTTGCCCCGTTACTTCCAACCTCTCGGCCTGCCCCGACCGGGAGCAGCGGGTGTTTGCACCGAGCAGGGCGGAGGGGAGCAGGAGGTGGGAAAGCGCCGTCACGGAGCGGCCAAAAGGAGCTCGGCGTCCCGCGGCCACCACAAACCCTCTCCTGCTCCGATGCTGCCCAGTCTGCGGCCGCTGGGCTGAGCGGCGGCTCCGGGTGCTGCTGAGGAGTATTTGGGAGCTGAGTCCTTTCTGTCTGTGAGCAGCGGAGGATCTGTGGGCTGCTGCAAGGGTGGACGTGCCGTGTGCTGTGCCGGGCGGCTGCTGGGTCGGTTCCCCGCACATACGCCATCTGCCAGCTGAATATCTGTACGTGCAGCAGCACCCGGCTGTGGCTCACCAGTAATGTAATTTAAATGTAAATGCAGCTTCCCCTGAACAAGGTGTAGCAGGCCGTGCAGGGAGTTCACCTGGATCTAATTCCAGCTGCCACCAGAACAGCTGCTTTCAGGTGGCTGAGCTGATCTCATCACATCCCCGGCACGTTCTGCCTTGCAGAGAACTTTCCTCCTGCTCTTCCTCCTTGCTGCCAGGCGGCTGTGCTGGCTTGGGCCGCCCTTCTCCCCGTGCTGGTGGTGGGTAACATCCACACTGTTGGGTGCATGAGAAATTCCCCCCAGACCTCTATGAAGGTGTGAACTGCTGCTGCTCCCCAGTGCACAGCGAGTCGCACAGCCCGGCACACGCTGTGCCACTGCTCATGTGGGTGCTCAGGGATGTGGGTGGATTTGTGGCAACCCCTGCTTCACCAATGAGTGCTTACTCTGGAGCAGGCCTTGCTGGGATGATGGCCGTGCACGTCGAGCAGAGCTCATCCCCAGCTCTGCCTCTGCAGCTCCACGTGCAGCTGCTGTGGCCGTGCCGTGTGCTGTCCTTCAGCTTCAGGTCTGCAGCTCCACACTGATGATAGCAGGACTGGCATTCATGGGGTCGTCATTCATCTGCTTCTCACAGGGTGCCTGCCGAGCTGCCTCCATCCCCAGCTCCAGCTGCTCCTTTCCCAGGGCTGCCCGTAGCACCGATGTGCCCACAGGCAGCCCAGGCCTTGCCTGGCTCCCACACAGAGGCACATCCTGGCACCTGAGCTGCTTTGTGTTCCCCCTGTGAGCGTGCTGCTCTCCTGGTCTGCAGCCAAATACCCCGAGCTCAGACCTGAGGCTGAGCAGAGCCCATCTTCAGGGGCCAGGAGCGCCGACCCTGCAGCTCTCAGGCTTCAGATGCCCATCGGGGAGTTTCCAAGAGCTTTGTCCTGTCACCAAAGCTTCCTCTTAACAAGTTAATATTCAAAGCACTTCAAAGTCTGCTGCAGACTCAGATTTTATGTTAGAAGCATCATCAATAATGGGCTGCACTAACAGGCTAAAGGGGAGATGAAAGAGAGGGGCGAGCAGCAGGTGGTCCCTGCTCTGCCAGCTGCTCCTCTCCCATCCCACGAACAATGCAGACCTGAGATTAGCATGGCTGCTCCTGCTGTGCAGAAGGGAGTCCTGGCAGCGCGCTGCGCCTGGTTCAGAGCCACAGGCACACAGGGCAGAGCTGGAGCTGATGGCTCAAACTGGGACTCTTATTAAAGGCAGCCTGGATACACTGGCCTCCTCACTGTGAGTCACTTCCATGATGCACTTACAGCCACATATTACTTACATGATCTTAAAATCCACAGGTTTATGCTAGCAAAAGCGTTGTGCTTCTGTCCATGTCCCCTGCTGCAGTGCGGTGGGTCTCAGCTCTGTCCCAGCTCTGGGTCTCAGCTCTGTCCCACCCCAGAAGCAGAGAAGGAGCAGAGCACAGGCAGAGCTGGGAAGCAGGCAGGGCTACCAGGGCAGCAGAGCCTTGGGAGGGGGAGGAGGTACACGGCCCTCCTGGTGCCAGCCCTGCAGCCCCTGACCCAGCTGCTCTCTGCCAGAGTCACTACGTGGCGTGCATGGCCGCCATCCTGAGCCAGATGGACGCAGACCATTACCACTCCTACATCCAGGCCTTCCCCTCCCGGCCCGAGCTGATGGTGAGTGCCTGCCGTGCAGGGAGAGCCCGGCCCTGGTGTCACCACCCCGCTGCCGGCACCCCCTGCGCCCCTGGGTGCTCCCAGCCCTGGTGCTCAGTGCAGCACTGCATCAGGACGGCTCTGCGGCTGTGCCCCAGCCCCTCACGTCTCCTCCTCACAGGACTTCCTCATGGAGACTTTCATCCTCTTCAAGGACCTCATTGGCAAGACGGTGTACCCCCCCGACTGGATGGTGATGAACATGGTGCAGAACCGGTGAGGAGCCCCGAGCTGGGAGGGACCCACAGAGGGGTCTGGGGCCGCAGCCTGGGATGCCTGGCCCCGTGCTGGGCTGCACCATGAGGGCCGAGGGATGAGGGGCCGTGGGGCTGTGAGCAGGAGCGCGCTGTGAGCTCCGACCCCAGCGCCCCAACCCTCACCTCGCCGTGACGGGGGCTGCCAGCCTCGCTCCCCCTCTGCTGTGGGCTGTGGGCCGTGGGCTGGCTGTGCCCTCTGCTCAGCACCCACACCAACCCTGCAGGGAGTTCCTGCGTGCCATCAACCAGTTTGCCACCACCCTGACAGAGAAGTTCCTGAGCAGCAGCAGCTTCGAACTGCAGGTGAGGGGACACCGACCCGGCCCTGACAGGGTGGCAGGGATGCGCCAGACGCTGTGTTGCTCTGCCTGCCGTTTGTCCCTCTCTTCTCACCGCAGCTTTGGAACAACTATTTCCACCTGGCCGTGGCTTTCCTCACCCAGGACTCCCTGCAGCTGGAGAACTTCTCGCAGGCCAAGCGCACCGCCATCCTGGCCAAGTGAGTGGCTCTCCCCTCTCAGGTCAGGGCCCCGGCCCCAGCCCCAGCTGTGCTTGCAGATGGGGATTCTGGAATGTGCTCTGCTGGGGCTCCTGGCCTGGAAGCTGTGCCATGGCCTGTGCCCATGGAGTGATGCTGAACTGACACCGTCCTGGCAGGTATGGGGACATGAGAGCCAAGATTGGAGCAGCCATCCGGGACATGTGGTACAACCTAGGTGAGCTGTGGTGTTACCAGCAAGGAGGAGGCTTGGAGAGTGCCTGCAGCCTGGTGTCCATCAGCATCGGCCCCAGAACGGGTGCTGGGGACTGAGAGATTACTGGTGTGGGGCATGGGAGTCTGTGGTGTGTGCACCATGTGGGTGTGCACCATGTGAGTGTGTATCCTGTGAGTGTGAATCCTGTGAGTGTGCACCATGTGAGTGTGCATCCTGTGAGTGTGCACCATGTGAGTATGCACCATGTGAGTGTGAACCATGTGAGTGTGCACCATGTGGGTGTGCACCATGTGAGTGTGCATCCTGTGAGTGTGCACCCTGTGAGTGTGCATCCTGTGAGTGTGCAACCTGTGAGTGTGAACCATGTGAGTGTGCATCCTGTGAGTGTGCAACCTGTGAGTGTGCATCCTGTGAGTGTGAACCATGTGAGTGTGCATCCTGTGAGTGTGCAACCTGTGAGTGTGCACCATGTGAGTGTGCATCCTGTGAGTGTGCATCCTGTGAGTGTGAACCATGTGAGTGTGCACCCTGTGAGTGTGCACCATGTGAGTGTGCACCCTGTGAGTGTGCAACCTGTGAGATGCTGCATCCTGTGAGTGTGCACCTTGTGAGTGTGCACCCTGCGAGTGTGCACCATATGAGTGTGCATCCTGTGAGTGTGCACCTTGTGAGTGTGCACCCTGCGAGTGTGCACCATATGAGTGTGCATCCTGTGAGTGTGCACCTTGTGAGTGTGCACCATGTGAGTGTGCATCATGTGGGTGTGCACCCTGTGAGATGCTGCTGGATGTGCCAGCCCATGGTGCTGAGCTTGCTCTTCCAGCTGCAGGCTCCCCTGTGCCCAGCATGCAGCGCTGGGCATGGACTGGGGAAGCCCTGCTGAAGCTGCACAGGGCTTGCAGAGCTCTGCTGCCACCACTCCTCAGCCTCTTGCACGCATTGCTGGCTGTTCCTGTGTGCCCCAGCCTTCCCTGTCGTCCTCAGGCCACCACAAGATCGAGTTCATCCCAGGCATGGTGGGCCCCATCCTGGAGATGACCCTTGTGCCGGAGCTGGAGCTGCGCAAGTCCACCATCCCCATCTTCTTTGACATGATGCTCTGCGAGTACCAGCTGACCGCCAGCTTCAGCAGGGTGAGCAGCAGCACTGGGCTGGGGAGGGCGGTGGAGGTGAGGGTTTTGCCTGTCATGGGGTGACCACCCCTATCGTGTGGGGGGAGGCACTGCTTGCCCTCTTCCCCCCCACTCCCCCTGCACTCCTGGGGTGTGGGGATGCAGCAGGGAGGGATGGGAACAAGTGAGAGGGGTGAGGGACGGAGATGAGGGACAGTGATGAGGGATGGTGATCTGCTGGGGCCGTGGAGTAGGAGGGAGTCTCGGAGCAATGCCCAGCGTTTCCCAGGGACCAGCAGGCTGCACACACTGAGCAGGTCCCAGCACTGGCTGAACACAACAGCACAGTGGTAGGGGAGAGCTCTGTACAAGCTTCCTGCATTGCCACTCTTGCCAAGCTGCTGTGAGCTTTCCTTGTGCAAAAGACTTTTCCACCCTATGCGGTGTCCCTGGGAGAAGGGCTGGGATCTCTCAGAGCCCAGCTGCTGCTGGATCTTTGCCCCTTGTCCACACTGGACACTGCAGTTCAGAGGACCCAAGAGCTTTGTGGGTGGCATCTCCACACCATTCCATGCAGCCCAGGCCTGGGGAGATGCTGTGCATCACTCGGGGGGTGTGCAGACCCAGGGGACTCAGTGCGGAACTGAGGGGCATCAGACGTGGCCCAGAGCCCCCATATCCTGTGCTGCACACATTGCAGGACCTGCCAGGCTTTGTGGCCCATCTGGTACACCTAGAGCACAAACCCCGTGGATCTCAAGGCTGAGCATCAGCTGGGAAGTGGGAGGGTCCTGGGCAGGCAAGGGTGGCTTTAAGAGGCACAGAGCACAGCCCAGTGATTCCTGGGCTGCCTGGGCTGCAGGACGCAGCCCTTCCTGCAGAAGCCACATCGGTCATCTGGGCTGCTGGGAGATGGCAATGCAGCAAAAGCAGAACGGGGAGCTGGGGAGCAATGGGGGCTGTGTCTGAGCAGGGGAATGGGAGTGTCCACGTGACGGGGGAGGAAGGTCTGCAGGAGCAGAGCCCAGGCTGCTGCTGGGGCTGCCATCAGCCTTCCTGCAGCGCCTGTTGCCCAGTGTCCCATGGATCTGTGGCCGTGCAGCCTTGGGGCCGAGCTCCGCACATCCTCAGCTGTGCTCACGTGCATCTCTTTGCAGTTTGAGGATGAGATCCTGCGCAAGCTAGACAGCGAGGTGGAGGGCGGCCGGGGCGACGAGCAGTACAAGCAGCTTTTTGAAAGCATGTGAGCGTGCAGCGCAACACCGTTCCCTTCCTCTGGGCATCACCCCTGCTTTGTGCCCTGCCCCCACAGAGCCGAATCTCGGCCATCCTCCTCCTCCCTGCTGTGCTTTGGCCCAGAGCGCAGCTCCAGAGGGGGGTCTGACAGGAGGGGCTGTGCTCAGGGAGCGCCGCGCTGCCCATCACTGCCTGGTCTGTGCCTCACGCCTGCTGGAGAGCAGCACAGGGTCTGCTCTCACTGCTGGCCTGGTGCCGCTTTCTGTCCTTGGCTGGGGCGATCGGGGTCCCACACCTCAGGGCAGCTGAGTGGGGTCGGCGTGGAGCCCGGCGTGCAGCCGCGCTCCCTCTGCTCCACAGTCTGCTCAGCTGCTGCCAGGCGCACCCCGAGCTGTCCCAGCCTGGGGAGAGCTTCGTGGCGTTGGTGACGGGGCTGCTGGAGCGGCTCCTCGACTACCGGGCGGTGATGAACGATGAGAACAAAACCTACAGCATGAGCTGCACCGTCAACCTCCTGGTGAGTGCCTGCACCACATCCCCCATCTGCGGGGCCTGCAGCATCACCACGCAGCTGCCCAGCAGCCCCGTGTGCCGTGGTGGCAGCAGGACTCAGGCTGGGGGATGGTGGGGGCTGCAGTAGAAGCCCTTTCCTGGGGCTGCCTCAATGCTTGCTCCTCCCCAGAACTTCTACAAGGAGATCGACCGCCAGGCCATGTACATCAGGTGAGCGCTGCCTCATCAAGGCCCCCGCGCCGTCAGCACACCCAGACCGTGCTGCGGTCCCGGCCCAGCATGGGAAGGTGCCAGCATCATTCAGGAGGGTCCCCAGCCCTGAGCTGCTCCCACCCCACCTGCTGTGACCCTGCGTGGGGCGGGGATGGGGGAGCGGGCAGGGGGCGCGGTGCCAGAGCCCCCCCAGCACCACATCCAGCAAACCCTGCCCTGCCCCCCAGGTACCTGTACAAGCTGAAGGACCTGCACATCAGCTATGAGAACTACACAGAGGGTGCCTACACGCTGCTGCTGCACGCACGGCTCCTCAAGGTGAGGCACGGCGGAGGAGGGGGGGGGCACAGCGCCCCCCGTGGCTCAGTGTGACGCACGGCATTCCCGCTGCCCCACACAGTGGTCCGACGAGGCAAACACAGCACCCATGCAGGGCCTGCACAGCCCCAGCCTGCACACCCAGCGCCAGCTGAAGGAGGCTCTGTACAACCAGATCATCAACTACTTTGATCAAGGCAAGGTGAGCACAGCCCCGTGCAGCGCAGACCGTAGGACCCAGCTCCCCCACCTCTGCCTTCCGCTCCGAGCCCCCACCTTGGCACCGCTCACCATCCCCGTTGCCATGATGGGGGCAGAGTTGCTCTGTGCCGGGCAGGGTGCTGTGATCCTGTGCAGAGCAGTTCATCCCTGCAGCCACAACAATTCCCAGTTGCCTGTTCTGCCCCTACTTCTGGGGAGATGCGGGGAGCTTGGACACCCCAGAGAGGGCTGGGCTGTGGAGGCCTGGCAGGGGCTGCGTGGTTGCAGACAGCAGGCAATGAACCCTGCTGCAGCCCTCCAGGGGCCCGTCCTGCTGCTCGCACAGGAGTGAGGCTGCAGGAGCCCTGCAGGAGGGGCAGGGCCCCCTTGGAGGTGCCCAAGCCCCTTCCTGCCCTGCTCACCCTGCACTGTGCAGATGTGGGAGGAGGCCATCCATATCTGCAAGGAGCTGGCAGAGCAGTACGAGAGTGAGATCTTTGACTATGAGATGCTGAGCGAGATCCTGGTGAGTGCCAGCCGGTCTGGGCTGCGTAGTGGGGCAGAGTGGGGGCTGAAGGCACTGCACAGTGCAGTGTGAGCCATGGGGCAGAGCGGGGGCTGCGTGGCTCCTGCCCTTTCCAGCGTGTCACCTCCCCCTGCAGCAGCGAGAAGCCAAATTCTATGAGAAGATCCTGAAGGTGCTGCGTCCCAGCCCAGACTACTTCGCCGTCGGCTACTATGGGCAAGGCTTCCCCACCTTCCTGAGGGTGAGAGGCTCTTGCTGCTGCCTGCAGCCCACGCTGCTCCTGTGCTGCTGTGCTGCACCCTGCGCAGCTCTGCCCAGCAGCTGTGACCATCTCAGGGCATCTCCTGTGAGAGGAGCCCCAGGGCTGTCCTTCCTCCTTGCCTGGTCCCCGTGGTCTGAGTGCTCCAGCCCCAGTGGGGAGAACTGGTGGAGGCTGGACAGCATGCAGGATGGGGCAGCCCTGAGGGATGGGGCGATGGGGAGCTGGTAGGGAGCAGCCCAGCGTGCCTCTGGGTGCAGCACTTATGGAAGGAAAACCCGGAAACTGGTGATTCGCTATAAAAAATGATGGAGAGGAGCCCAGGTGTTGTTCCTGCACACAGGGATGTGGTGTCTGCAGGCCTCCTGGCCCTGAGCACTGGGCTGTGCTCTACCTGCAGTGCACGGCTGCAGCTGCACTGCTCCGTGGCTGCACCACGTCCCGCTTGGGGTGCAGAGCCGGATGGATGCCCTGTAGGAGCTGCAGGGATGTGCTTGTGCTGACTGGGCTATGAATGCATTTGGGAATCTCCTGGAACTGCTCTTCAGCGCCCCACAGCTCGCTGCCCGTTAATCCATCTACCTTTCTGTTGTTGGGCTCGGGGAAGGCCTTTCCAAGAAGGGGTTCCCCTTCGGTTGGCACCTCAGTCTGCCACGACCCCCGCGGCACGCAGAGCTCGGCGCAGGGCTCGCAGCGCCGCCCCTTCCTCCCGCAGAACAAAGTCTTCATCTACCGCGGCAAAGAGTACGAGCGCCGGGAGGACTTCGAGATGCAGCTGCTCAGCCCCTTCCCCAACGCCGAGAAGCTGCAGACTACGTCCCCGCCCGGCCCCGACATCACGGAGTCCCCGGGGCAGTGTATCCTTGCGGCGTGGGGACGGGCAGGGCCGGGGGGGTTCCCTGAGCCCGTGGGTCCCGCACAGCCACGGCCCCGCGGTGTGCGCCCGAGGCTCCTTCACTCCCGCAGACATACAGTGCTTCACTGTGCAGCCGGTGGAGGAGTCCAGGATCCGGCTCAGGGACCGCAGCATCCCGGAGCAGATCACCAAGTGCGTGCCTGCGGCGCTGGGCGCTGCTCGGTGTGGGGCTGCGTCTCCTCTGCATGCAGCCCATCCTCTGCCCCTTCTCTCCTGCAGTTTCTACAAAGCCAATCACGTCCAGAAGTTCAGCTACTCACGGCCCTTCAAGAAAGGCCCGAAGGATCCAGACAATGAATTTGCAGTGAGTGCTGATGGGGACCCCGGGGTGGGCAGAGCTGCAGGGTCCTGTGGAGCACCGGGTGTCCAGAGGAGGGCAATGCAGAGAGACTCGTCTGGGCGCTGGGGGGGAAAGGCAGCACTGCCATGCCCACAGGCAGGGGAGGTGGGACGCTGCGGTGATGGGAGCTGTGGGACTGATTGTGTCCTGCCTGCAGAACATGTGGATCGAGCGGACCACCTTCGTGACAGCCTACCCACTGCCCGGCATCCTGCGCTGGTTTGCAGTGACCTCCACCACCACGGTGAGGAGAGGGTGGGAGGGGAGGGGGCTCTGCTGGTACCCGGCTCTGCGCTGCCCCTGCCCACCCAGCAGCTCCGTGTGGGGGTCCCACACCGCAGTCAGAGGGGGGGGTTGGACATCGCTGAGGCTCTGGGTGCTGCAGCAGTGCAGGAGACGGGTCATCACTGCTCTGGTGACAGTTGTGCTGCAGAGCAATGTACAGCAGCGCTGCCACACGTGCCTGTGCCTGGACCACGCGTGCTGCTGCTGCACAGCTGCTCCTGCAGTGCAGTGACATTTACTTGGCTTCCCACAAGCTCTGCACTGCTGCTGTCACACAGCTGCGTGAGGCTGTGGTCCCTCGTGCAAGGCACTGACCTTCGATACATCCCCTTGGGCCCCAACTCAGCTCCAAGCACACAACTCATGGGTTCGAGGGGCTCCGTAGGGGTCCTGGGCACCGGGGATGGGGAGAAATCACCCACTGGCCCCAAGCAGAAGGGACAGTGTTCTTTGCCGAGCAGCCGCTGACCTCCTTCCCCTGGCACAGACCACCATCTCCCCCCTGGAGAACGCCATAGAGACCATGATGAAAACAAATGAGAAGATTCTGAGTGAGATCAACCGGCACCAGAACGACCCCGGCCTGCCCATCAACCCGCTCTCCATGCTGCTCAATGGCATCGTGGACCCCGCCGTCATGGGCGGCTTCGCCAAGTACGAGACGGTGAGGAAGCGCTGCACCAGGGCTGGGACTGAGCACGGGGAGCAGACTGAGGGGCACAGCTCCTTTCCCTGCCTGACCCACAGGGGTCAGCCATCAGGTGCTGAGCAGCTCGCTGCAGGCTTTCTTCCAGGAGCCGTACCTGGAGGAGCACCCCGAGGACCGGGGCAACATCGAGAGGCTGAAGGACCTGATTGCCTGGCAGGTACTGTGCACAGCCCCGTGGGGAGCCCCTCACCCCTGCAGCCCAAGGGGAGCCCGGGCAGCTCCATCCCCTCCTCCTGCAGATCCCACTGCTGTCAGAGGGAATCCGGATCCACGGACAGAAGGTGACGGAGGATCTGCGGCCCTTCCACGAGCGCATGGAGCAGTGCTTCGTGCAGCTGCGGGCCAAGGTGGAGAGCCAGTATGGGGTGCGTGAGATGGTGAGTGCTGGGTGGGGAGCGGGGCAGGGCAGTGTGCGTGGGGGAGCTCAGCTTGACCCTGCTTGACCCTGCTGTGGGGTGGTGGCACATGGCCAGGACACGCAGGGAGGCACTGCTGACTGAGCAGAGGGGAGCAGAGGGGCACTCGATGCCTTCACCTTTCCTGGCTGCTTCTCCCCCTGTGCTCCCAGATCTCCTTCGAGGACCGGCGGAGTGGACGACCCCGGTCTGTGACCTGGGCACCAGACTGGGAGCGGCTGAGCCACGCCAGAGACAGGCGAGTGCAGCAAGGGAGGCACCACTCATCCCCACCCCCAGGAGCCACTCGTTCCCCTGCGCCCTGTGCAGTCCCCTCCCACCCGCCCCATTCCGATGCCCTCTGTTTCCCACTCTGGTGTTTTGCACCAAGCCCCGCTTCTGCATCCATTCTGCCATCCGTCACGGCGGCCCCGTCCAGTGGGAGGACACGGAGCAGAGACACCCAGTGCAGCCGGCACTGCGCTCACCTGAACCACTCACACCTGTTCTGCGGGTCCCCGCTGAGCTTTGCCGTGGGCTCTGCCTGGCACAGCTCAGCTCCCCACCCCTCACCAGTCGCAGTTGCTCTGCAGCATGGAGGCATCCCCGATCCCGAAGCCCAACCCACGGAGCGCCGAGGACGAGCGCAGGGAGAACCGCTCCAGCACGTTCTACTCCTACCGCCGGCCGGAGCCGCGCCAGTCCGCCTCGGAGCTGCCGGAGCCAAAGGTGATGCGGTGATGCCACCCGCACGGCCGCTCGCCGTCGCCGGCCGATGGTGAAGAACGGCGCTGGGGCTCCGGGGTCACAAAGCCCGGAGCTGGAGAGCATCGCGACCCGCATCGCTTCTGGGACCTGCAGCCCGGCTGAGCCGCCCCGGAAGCTGACGCCTTTTCTCTGCTCCAGGACGACAGGCGGAGACGCTCCTGCAGCGTGAGTGAGAGCGGCCCGGGCAGCCCCGATGGGAAGCAGCCGCCCCAGAGCCGCGACTCGGCGGGCGCTCAGCCCGGCCCCGCAGGTACCGGCAGACCCCCAGCCCCGCACCCCCCGCACCTCCCAGCCCCGCGCGGGTTGCGCTGCCCCACCCGACCCGACCCCTTCGCGCAGTGCTGTCCCCCACCGGGTTCTGCGGCCGCGTGAAGAGCGCCAGCAAAGCCCCCCCGCTGCCGCGCAGGATCAGCCCCGCGGTGTACGAGACCTTCCTGGAGGGGAGCGATGCTGCCAACGGGGGAAAGGTACCGCCCGGCCCCGCTGCCCCCGCCCGCGGAGCCGTCCGTCTGTAACTGTCCGTCTGTCTGCAGGCGCTGCCGTCGCTCGCAGATGGGAGCAAAGGGCTGAAGTCGCCTCCGCCTCCGCCCCCGAAGTCTAAACGGCTGTCCCAGCTCTGAACCCAGGACGGGAACGGCGGGCAGCAGCTCGAGCGGCTCCCGGACAACCCCCCCTCTCCCGCCCCCTCAGCTGCTGCACAGCCGCGGACTCCCGAGCGCTCCGGAGCACCGCCGTTCCGCGAGCGTCGGCCGTCACCGCCCGCTGCCCCCCGCACTGCAGCGCTCCGGATCGCAGCCCCCCGCCCGCCCGGCGCTGCGGCCCCCCGTGGCCGACAGGACCGTCGCCCTCACTGCCGGCGCAGTGTGACAGCGGTCCGCGCCTGCCCTGAGCCCTTTCCCCGCTCCTGCTCCCCCCTCCCCCAGTGCCTCCATCCCGCAGCTGCTCCCGGCCCGAGCCCCGCACGGGATTCGTCCGGGCTGTGAGCGCATGCGGGCAGCGCAGCGCGTTGTGCGGTGTTCGCTCCCGCATCTCTCCGGCTTCCCAGCCGCACCGCACCGCCCAATAAAGGAGCCCCGCAGCAGCCGTCCGTGCGGCGGTATCGGTCGGTCGGTCGGACGCTCAGCGCTCGCCCTGGGCAGGGCGGCGGGCACAGCTCCACACTGCGGGTCCACCGCCGGTGCTGACCGCACGCGGTTCCGCTCTTTATTTCCACGCGGCCCCGCGGGTTCAGGGCCGTACCTACAGTCCACCGTGATAACGAGGAGCCCGGCGAGACGCGAGGGGGGGGGTGGAGGGCGGAGCGGGAGCCGCCAGCGGCGGTGGGCTCCGGTGGGGCGAGGAAGGGACGGGGGGAGACGGCGCCGCACCGAGCACCGGGCTGACCGCGCAGAGCGGAACGGAGGCCGCTCCTCGCCGGGCCCGGCGCTCACAGCGGGTTTGCCGAGGAGGCCGCCAGCCGCTTCCCGATGTAGATCCTGGAGGGCAGAGAGGCGGCGTCGGTCTGCGCGGGGGCAGCTCGCTACGAACGCCGAGCACGGCGGCCCCGCAGGAGCCCCGCAGTCACTCACCCCAGCCCCAGGGTCAGCGCGTGGCTGAGCAGCAGCGGGGGGATGACGAGCAGCAGCAGCTCGGAGCCGAAGAGCCGCTTCTTCCTCAGCACCGCGCCGTCCCGCAGCGCCCACCGCACCGGCGGGGTGGGACACGCGAAGGGGAGGTGATCCCTGCGGGGAGCGGGGTTAGGGCCGGGGCGAGGGGCTGGCGGGGGGACGCGGGGGGGCGGGCGGCTCACTTCGCACAGCGGTGCTCGGGGCAGCGGGCGCAGCTCCGGCTGAGCGCTGCGGGCGGACGGCGCTCGGTCCGCTCGGCGTCCTGCGGGGCGTCCCGCGGCGCGGACGGCTCCGGGCGGGACTTCGGCGCTTCCTCCCGTCCCGGTGGGGTCTGCGGGCGGCCCGGGGGGGGCGGGAGCCGCTCGCTCACCTTCGCGGCGCTTTCCTCGTCCCGGGCCGGGGAGCCGCGCGCCGGCAGCGCCCTGAGAACAGCCCCGCGTCGGTGCACCGCACGGCAGGGCGCGGTGCGGAGACGCTCCGGGACTCACCACCCGTCGGCGCCGTCCGGCTCCAGCTGCGCGTCCAGCAGCATCCGCTCCACGTCGGCGTGGCACGAGAAGGGCGCGGGGTCGCAACGCAGCTCCACCCAGGAGCCTGCGGGCGGCCGTCAGCCCCGCACGGCCCGGGGACGCGGCGCACCCCCCCGCCCGGGAGAGCTACCGGAGACCGCGGGCCGGCCCCTCCGCCCCCCGTGGCTCCCGGTGCCCCTCGGCCCGCCCGGCCCCCGCCGCACCCCGAGCCCCCACCGCCTCCCTCCTCCCCCGCCCCGCACACCGTCGTCGCCGCCGCCCGCCATGGCCCCGCGCTTCCCGCCGTTCTCAGCCCCCGCCCGGTGCCGCGGCTCCTTCGGTCACGTGACAGCCGCGAGCCCCCATGTAAATAAAACCGCCGGCACCGGCGGCCCGCGCCTTAAAAGGGCACCGGCCCCTCCCGTCGGGCCCGCGCGCCGACGCCCGCCGCTCCCGCCCCTCGGCAGACGCGGGCGGCGCTCCGCGCTCGCGTCGCCCCTTTAAGCGGCGCCTACGTGCGGGCAGCGGGCGGGCGGCGGCCGCGGCGCGTGCAGAGCCGCACGGAGCAGCGCGGCCCCGCCCCGCCCCCCCGGACACCGCCGTTTGCTTCCAGCGCCGTTTATTGCCGCTCCGCCGCTCCCGGCCGCGCCGCCCCAGCCCCGCGACGCCGCCGTTGCCGCTCCGCTCCGGTCGCTCAGGGGCTGCCCCCGGCCCGCGCCGCGCCGTGCTTCTCGGCGAACCTCCTGCGGAGAGACGGGCAGACGGTACCGCACGGCACGGCGCGGCCGCAGCGGGACCCCCGGCGGGGACGACCGCGGAGCCGCAGCGCCAGGAGCACCGAACGAACGGAGCCGGGAAAGCGAAGCCCCCCCCGGCCCCGTCTGCGTTCGGCAGCCCCAACGCGGGCGCCCTGCCGAGCGTAAAGAAACTCCTCGGGTTCGGCTGCAACCAGCGCGAGCCCCGCGCCCCTCCAGTGCCGCACTGCGAGGCGGCGGAGCCCAGGAAACAGAGCGGAGGGCCGAGAGCGGCACGGGGGGGGTGGGAAAGGCCAGGAAGGGCCTCGCAGCCCCTGCAGCCCCTGCAGCCCTTTCCTCTGCAGGCCCGATCCCAGCGCGGGGCTCAGCACCTCTGCCCGCAGCAAAAGGCATCGGAGCAGTGGAGGCAAAAGGAAGATGGGGGAAAACGTGGGTGCGGGAGCTTTGTGGCTTCAGGTTCTGGCAGCGAGATGGGCCTGCAGGAATCCCACATCCCTGAGGGTGAAAGGTTGGAGCTGAGATGGACTCGGGGATCGGGTCGGGCAATGGCCCCGACGGGAGGGAAGTGCACGATGTGGGTGAGGCTGCTCTGTGATCTCTGGCTGGGAGAGGAGCCCAAAGGAAGCGAACGTCCCTGCTGTGTTCAGTTAGGGCAAGCAGGGGCTGAAGGAAGCAGGGCAGTCAGCCTCACCTCCATCTGCGCCCCCCCGTCCTGCAAGCCACTTCCAAACACACAGGGGAAAAGAGATCAGGAGCAGTTAGCGTGGATCACCGAGGGAAACATCACCCACAGCCCTGACAGCGCAGTGAAACGACTGGCCTGGCTCTGACACTGCTGGAATGGGGGCTGGATGGGCAGTGAGGGATCAAACGGCACCTGGTTGGCTGGGCCCAGAGGTGGCAGCCAGGGGTGAGAGGAGAAGCCCAAGGTCAACAAGGGGTCCAGCCCTGTCTGCCATCTGTGCTAACAATCTGGACAGTGGCACTGACTGCATCCTCAGGAAGTCTGCAGGTGACACAAAGCTGGGGTGAGCAGCAGGGACAGCAGTGTCACATTGCCACGGGGACCCGGCCTGACAGGCTGGAAGAACTGCAGGAACCTCAGCAAGAAGTGCAGAGCCCTGCATGTGGGAAGGAGCAGCCGCAGCACTGGGCTGGAGGCACAGCAGCTTAGCAAAAAACAGACCTGCATAATGCAAAGCACGGCCAGCAGGTGAAGGGAGGTGATTTATTCAGCACCAGAAAGGCCATCAGGGATGCTGGGTTCAGTTCTGGGCTCCCCAAAGCAAGAAACAGTGACAGAGTCAGGGCCACAAAGGCAGTGAAAGGACTGGAGCTTACTTCCCATAAGGAAAGGCTGAGAAAGCAGGGGCTGTTTACCCTGGGGAAGGGAAGGCTGAAGGGAAAGCTCATCACAGAATCACAGAACGGCCTGGGTTGCACAGGAGCACAGCGCTCGTCCAGCTCCAACCCCTGCTGTGTGCAGGTCAACCAACAGCCCAGGCTGCCCAGAGCCACATCCAGCCTGGCCTTGAAACCTGGGGCATCCACAGCCTCCTTGGGCAACCTGTAACAGTGCCTCACCACCCTGTGCAAAAAACTTCCTCCTGATATCCAACCTTAACTCCCCTGTCTCGGTTTAAGACCTTTCCTCCTTATCCTATCACTGACAACCCATGTAAGCAGTCCTTCCCCCTCCTGTGTATGTGCTCCCTTCAAGTACTGGAAGTGCTGCATCAACGTCAATAAATACCTGACAGGTGGCACAAGGAGGACAGAGCCAGGCTCTTCTCCTTGGTGCCCAGTGCCAGGCCTAGGGGCTCAGGCTGCAGCTGAGCTTGGCACCAGATGGCTTCTGCTCACTGTAAGACTCCTGCACAAGGTGGAGACTCCACTCTGTAGCAGTTCTGTGCCACTTTGGACTGAATCAAAGCCTCTGTGATCTCTGCCACCTTCTGAGGTGTCAGCCAGGCTCACCTCTAGACACGCAGGCACCACGAAAACATCAGCTCCTCTGGGAGCTTGTTCCACTGATTGAATAGATTTCCTCTACAGAAATAAGCCTGCAACTTCTGACCATCAGTTACTATTCTGCATTTCTTTGACAGATTGAAAAGCCTGATTCCTGCTCCCAGAAAAATAATGACATACAGCGCGCCACCTCAGTTACTGTCAGTTGAACAGACTTCACTTCCTCTCCTATAATTTTATGGCTCCTCTCCAAATTCATCCTGAATTTTCTGCATCTTTTCTAAAAAAAAAAAGAAAAAAAAAAAAAGAAAAAAGAAAAAAAAAGAAAAAAGCACCGCGTGCCAGAAGTGGACACTCACTCCACTACTTGCACCATCTAAACTGCACACAGAGCTCAAACTCCCTCCCTGTCCCCTGTCAGCATTCTCCTCTTTCTCTGAGGAATCACAGAATCACAGAATCACAGAATCACCCGGGTCAGAAGGGACCTCAAGGATCACGCAGTTCCAACCCCCTGCCCAGCAGGGCCACCAAACATCCACATTCACATCAGGTTGCCCAGGACCCCGTCCAACCTGGCCTTGAACACGGCCAAGGACGGGGCATCCACAACCTCCCTGGGCAGCCCGTTCCAGGCCCTAACCGCTTTCCTTGGGAAGAACTTCCCCCTAACATCCAACCTCAATCTTTCCTCCTTCAACTTGGATCCATTTCCCCTCGTCCTGCTGTTGTCAGCCCTTCTGAAGAGTTTACTCCCCTCCTGGCTGTAGGTTCCCTTCAGGTATTGATAGGCTGCACTGAGGTCACCCCGCAGCTTCTCTTCTCCAGGCTGAACGAGCCCAGCTCCCTCAGCCTGTCCTCATAGGGGAGGTGCTGCAGCCCCCTGCTCATCTCAGTCGCCCTCCTCTGGACCCTTTCCAACATCTCAATGTCTTTCCTGTCCTGAGGGCTCCGCACCTGGACACAGGACTCCAGATGGGGCCTCACAAGAGCCGAGTAGAGAGGGACGATCACCTCCCTGTCCCTGCTGACCACCCCTCTCCTGATGGAGCCCAGGATCCCATTTGCCTTTCGAGCTGCAAGAGCGCACTGCTGCCTCATGTTCAGCCTCTCGTCCATCAGGACCCCCAGGTCCTTCTCTGCCGAGCTGCTCTCAAGGCCCACTCCTCCCAGCCTCTACGGGTGCCTGGGGTTCTTCCGGCCCAAATGCAAAACCTTGCACTTTGCCGTGTTGAACCTCAT